TCGACAACATATGACACTATAAATGTACACTTGTAATATGCATTACATACATGCAGAATTTACATCAGAGTTAAATATTTATGGCTTTTTCTTCTTGTCTCTATTTGAGTGGTACTGAAATTGGTTGTCGGGAAGTCCGAAAAATGCTTCACAATCCGCTTTTCTTTTTTTCTTTTTTTTTTCTTTTTTTTTTTTTTTTGCTCACCACAAAAAAGTGGGGGATGATTCAATTGCCAATCCTTCCCATTTTAAAAGGAGGGGGTATATAGCCCCCTCCCCGGGATTTACGCCCATGAACCAGGCGAAAGGCGTAGCGATGATCTCAGACACGCTTCTCGGTGACGGCACGCTAGAGTGTTATTAACTTTGCCTCTACTTAATACGTTGGTTTAACCAGATAGAACCGAACAAAACCAAACTGAAGTAGGATTAAGAAGCTACTATGCAATGAAGATGCCTTGTAAAAATGATTACCAAAAACCACGTGTATAAGTATCAATTTAGTAATCTATTTCTCAACTGCAAAGGCATTTTCCTGTTTATATACGACAGGGATGCGGCACGCTTGAGAAGACCTCTGTGGGCTGTTAGCAGATGTGCCACTCCTTTCAAAATCATATCTCGCCAGACGCAATATCCTGGAGGTATAAAGGCCACGCGTTGGCAAAATTAACATCCCAGTATGACGGACGATGTCACCAGGGTTGACGTTCGGACCGTCCTCCGTGGTTCCAATCAAAAAAGGCACGTCAAAAATGTCGTTAATTTCACTATGTCACGTGGATGTCATGCATATCAAGTCGAGCGACGCCAAGCACCTCGGAGGTAAAATGATATGATCTGAGGAAGTTGTATTATATAAACCCATTCGTTCCATTCTAAAAACAGAAATGGCGAATAGCATTGTTGTCAATATTCCATCATGCCATGATACAGATCATGTATGCAGTGTATACGAGGTTTTGACTTTAATGGTAAACACTATGCTCCAACCTCGTCACAAAGCTTGTCCCTCTGCCATTGTACTTGTAATTTGTCTAGTGAAATGGACGGCGTGGGTGGCCTTAATAATTCTGCTACTTCACAACATCAGCAGCCCACTGATGTGTCGACAGGCAGTCCTTTCCAAAGAATCATCTAGTCTATTTTAGTATCTTGTGTTGTCGCATTAAAACTTGATAGTGAAAAGGGGGTGAATGAGGGCACATCGATTGGGGGGGGTGGAGGCAATTACTTGAAACCTTTTAAGGGTACCTACAATTAATTTATTTTGGTACAGACCTTCAAAACGCACCTTTGTGTCTCAGTTAACCTCATTTTCAACATTTGTTTCACTATTTCAAAGGGTATTTAAGGCCTTTATGGTTGTATGCTAATAAGTACATGTAATTTCCATATTCATGAGCAAAAGTGTGATGTCATCCAAGGAAGAAAGCCTCAGCGTTAATACGTTGGTTTGTACACAGAAAGTCCTGCATTTTTGTTGATTTTGCTGGGCTAAAGTTTCTGTTCTTCGCTGATTCAATGTTGTTTATGTACAATGTACGTGGCAATAAGCACGCATCAATCCATTTTGAACCCAGAATTATGAACCCATAATGTCCAGGATATTCTGGGCTCACAATTTGAACAGAAATCCCCAGGCATTGAACTATTCACTGGATGACGTCACAGCAGCAGTGCCCTCAGTTGTATTCCATGGATAATTTAAGTTTTAAAAAGCGACCTTTTCAATGCATTGAAAAGGAATGTCAAAGAGCTTTTAGACATTGAAGATCACAAGGTTGCAGAAAAATTGTGTCTGCAACTCACTGCTGTGACATGTTCATGTCTTTTTTGGAGGAGTGAGGCTAAACTGTGGAGATTTACATGTTTTGAAGAGGAAAGGAAAAGAACTTTTTTTTTCAAAAACCACGTTTTATATTTGAAAATTATAGCCCCCGTTGTTCCCTAGATCCACTAATCATTTGTACTTTTTCCTGACAATATATCTCATTCCTTGAGCCTGACATGCTGGAATTGTTTCCCCTTAATCCCCCTTTTTAATGACATAGCTTTACCAGTTGAATTTCTTTAGTATACTACTCGCTCACCCCCATACCAAGTTTCTGAATAGGGCAAGGTACTGAGACACGAACGGTTTTGAGTCCCCAAAGTTTTGGCTCACCCCTTGTAGCGAAGAATAACACGAGAGCGATGACCACGATCAATATGATGATGGCCACCACAACGGCAACGACGACTTTGAACCTGAAGAGCCTGGGTGCCTTAGGCTGTCTCGTCTTCACGTTGGCCCCATTCGCCTCTAGCACCTTGGTCTTGCCAGACTCCTCGTCGATCTTGAAGTTTTCAACAGGGACACCCTGCGGGGGGTAGTGAAGAAAATGATTTGGTGACAATTATTTGACAGGCTTGGAACAGGCTGCACTACGGCTCGATTGTTGTTATTTTAACACTCTCGAACGACAACGGTAAATTTCATGATATGCAGCTATCGCTCTTTCGAATCCCGTTTCGGTGGGGATTCTTCATTACTTTTTTTATTTTAACCCAAGGTGACAGGGCCAGTATTTTCCGTAAAAGATAGGGGAATACCGATAATCAAATGTCAAAATAAATTTGAAGTTTACAGAATTGACTGTTGGATGTTCCAGAACAGACAAAGATGGTATAAAGAAATTCCATCATGGCGTTATAGATTGTCAATATTGTACATTTTCATTTTCTTAATAGTCAGCTTCCTTTTGTGCATTTTCCCCGAAATATGTAAGAGTTCATTATCTTGACCAACCGCAGACAACATATCTACATGACTGCTATTTCTTCTTTTTCTATTTCGTAAGGTATAATGGATGTATTCTGTGAAATTGGTAAATATAGTTGTCAGCCTGGTGAGATGAAGCATTCTGTCTTGGCGGGATAACATTCTTTCTCGTTACCCTGTCAAGTTCAATCAATCAATTTATGGGCCACCCGAATCTTTACGAGCGCTTGGTATCGACTAATTATCACTGGAAGTGGACAGATTGAAACGTCAGACAGTTCTGCCCGCAAAGTCTTTACGAATTCGAAAACACATCTTGAAATACTGCCAATCGCAGTTCCAGTTCGCCCAATCCTATTTTGCACTCTCAATTTGGGTCACCTAGGAAAAGCCTTCGAGTCAATGCGTAAACCTCAAAAGTCAAAAGCAACTGCAGCATATTTATCACGCTCGGCTAGCAAATTTTACGGTCCTGTAAAATCCGAAACTGTTGTCCTGTTATTACCCCTTGAGTGAACGCGTTGACTGAACCCGCTCTGGGCGATGTATGTTAGCGAGTTACTACATTCGAAGATGTGTGATTTCCCTTCATTCTTTTTTCCCCTGCAGTGTTTACTTTTTCCTGTCTCATAAGCAACGCATCAGTCACCAGAGATCACAAGTTCAGTTGTCCAAACTTCCCAAAAGCCCCTGAAGGGATTCAGAACGGCATTACTGGGAGATTTGGTCACATTAAAACAGTTCTGTTTCTTGCAGATCAGTTTGCCATTCCTCACGACAGGAGGATAATGAGGCACTTTCGAGGGTTTCTGCGTGTTGGAATTATCTCGTCAATTAAGCGACAGAAAATGAAAGATCAACGCACACAAGAAATCAGACTTGTAAAAATATAGTCTCGTCAAAAAAGAACGAGACAGTCCACAAAATAATGGACAAATTGGACGTATCATGATGTTATTGCCTCCCAAGAGTCCGAAGGTCACCTGCACTTACGCTACGAGTTCACAGACGTTCCGGAAGATTAATCCATCACGTGCTTTACTGCCAAGTTGATCATTGAGCAATGTCAGCTTGTACTAACGGGTGTGGTGACCTATTCAAGAGTTCCAGTTTCCTTCATTTCCTATACTTGGCCAATTAAAATGTCAACTACCCTTCTCACACATTTGCAATCTCTCGATGCAAAGCGGAAGAATATAGTGGAAGTACGGATACTGATCCATTCTTGTGCGTGACATGTCTCGTTTAGACTCTACATGATGGAAACATACTTGCCTTCACATTCATCTTGAGATACGAATGCCTCGGAACCATCAACGGATGGGGGAAGAAACGGGCCATGGCCCCACCCCGCCCCCCGCCAGAAAGGCTTGTTTGTTCCATTTCATTTCTCTGCCCTTGAAAAGCGTGTAAAAAGTCCTAAATTGTAGTCTCAATCCAAGAATTTGGCTATGCCGACATTAAGTTCTTGATCCGCCCTTGCGCAGAACAAGGCTACAGCTCTTTCGACATGAGGTATATTATGCGATCTTACAAAGTAATAACTTATTTCCTTGTTCCATTAGTGAAGCTATATCCAAGAAGCGATACTTTGGAATATTCAAAGTCGAATGGCCACACCTACAACCCCAACTATTATTACAAAAATTCTACGTTTTGAGGGGAGTCAGAGAGAACCCTACACTTCCCCCGAGCACTTCTGTTAACTGGGTTCGAATCGCACCATGGCCGACATAATAAGGTCAGATTTCCAGTCTCTACCTGATTCTATGGATTTTCCTCAGAAGCTCTCTCATGCGATTTCTTCCTTCATCTACAAGCGAAAATGTTTTCAATGCTTTCTCCACGGTTTCGTCAAGGCTCGCGATGCAAAGTATCGTGGACGCGTTTGAGGAACCCTAAGATTTATTGCCAGAAACAAAGACTACGGTACATTGTACTACGATTATTATGCAAGTGCGCAGTGGAGAGTAACATGACAGTCAACCGGTATGCACACAGATCCCCAAACCACGCATCGGGAACGACTCCACGTCCCTTCAGGGAAAACGAAACCCCGGGAGCACGTTGGAGGAGCTGTACTTAATACTTTGAGATAATTGGTCACGCCAAAAGAGTGACACTGAAACGGATGATAGAGGAGGTGTCCCAACGGAATTGACAGACTTTCCATTATTATGGGGGTGACTGCGTTAGTCATAATCCGACCTCGAGACTTGAGGATTTGGCAGAGGTTGATTTTTGGTTCGGGACCATCATAATGTCACAGATTTCACAAAGAAGGGATGCAAACGCAGCTGCCCCGCGTGTGAACGCACACAAACCCCACTGAACGAAAGGTCGGCGTCGGCTAGAAGCTGGAAAACTAAGACTTTCATTACCGCGAAGGACTGGGCATCTGTATTGGTTAATAATCGGGCTGAAGTCCTCTTGATTTGATCATATCAACTGACTCATCGCCAAGTTCAGCTTTACAAGAATCACACAGTGCTTTCATATTGTAGAAAGTTGTTGAAAAGGTGTATCTCCCGCAGATTTAAATTTAGAGAAACCTCTTCTGCTATTATCTCAAAGACGTCTGGGTCGTCAAAGTCGACAAGCCCCGTCCCTTGGTGAAAACGGTGAGGGCAAATATCCTCACGTGCTGAAGTGTTTTGCAGTTGACACAAGGCTAAGGATACGTTACGGGTTGGTTCACAGTTAAGGCAAACATCATGCAGTCTCAAGGGCTGGATACTGGTAACAATAAAGACTTAATACGATCAAAGTGACAATGCTGTAATTGTTAAACCGTCATTTGTAACTTGAGAGCGAGCATTTTACTGGTATACATGTGTGTATTATTCTTGTACATGTACATGCAATGGACACACCCTCCCAAAGGATTTTTTTATTTCCAATTGGCAGTGCTACATTAAATTTGTAATGACTTATCTAGTTTACAAAAAATCCAATATATTTGATCTTTTTGCAAAATCTACCTGAAGCAATGCATTGATCGATCCATTGTCTGACAAATAACAATATATCCAATCAATGATGACATTAAAACGTAATTTTTAGAATTATGAATGGTATGACTTTAATCCCTTGGATGATTTTTTCGATCATATTGCCCTGTTACTGGGTCCGTTATGAGATCTGCACAGGCGAAAAACCGGGGCGATTTTGGAAAGCTTCCTATTCAGGCTGTAACTCCTGGACTGAACTCGCTACGTGGCCTGAATAATTTGTGATTAAAATCCATTCATGCGTCACCTAGGGGCCCTCTTAGATAAGGCCGCGGTGCGTGAGGCTTGGCGAACGAAAGAGGATGATGTCATGAGAACATGCATGAGCCTGCGGTGCGATCTAATCAGAAAAAGCTGGTAACATTTTAATTACATGAGTTAGTATGTAAGAATCCGTGGGCCTGACCGAATACGCGCATTGGCGCGTGACGCTGTGCGCTGGTATATAAGGAATGAAGGCCCAATTTGGTCATATCTGGTTTTGCAATTGATGAATCATTTTTAAAAATTGTATTTGAGTTTTTTTTCTTGCGAACCATGTCCTCACAGAGCATACAAAACTGCGGGTCGATGCCTCCTGGTTGAAGGACGCTATATGACCTTACATTAAAACCAGGTAAAAAGACATGTAAAAGTTTCCTGAAGCGAACTTCACTTTAAATAGTTTACTTTCATTGCATTCAATTCTATTCATTATTCACATAATACAAACAGGAGATTTGATTTCCTGGTTATATCAACGATAAAATGTTACAATACAATACAAAATCAAAATTGAAGAACAACATACTAAAAGTAAATCAAGTCACGTGCGAAACCACAAATATAAATATACACACACACTAAAGCTACCATTTACATGACGAAGACAAAAACATTTAAACAATTAAAAACAAACACCCCCATGTTTTACGATATTTAATATTAGAGTCGCCCTATTCCATAGCATTATACTTCCACGCTCCAGTGTTTTTGGCTTTTTTCGCAAGTGTGTTTTACCCCAAAGAATCCACGAAAACGAATCGCAGTATTTTAACCTCGATTTAATCTGTGAGGCTCGAGGTATGCGACATTTTGACAATTTTCTCAACCGCGTAGAACCACATCTTACGCTAAGCGGCAAAACAAAACAAAAGCAGAGATAGACTTGACAATCCACGGTTTCATTTTCTGCCCAAAATATTTTCACAAGTCACGATTATAGCAAGTTGACGCACTTTCTTTTGTCCTGAGGATGCTTCGACGTGAATTTGACTGCTTGCAAAATATTATACAATTGATGTACGAAGTAGATCTATCCGTATTTAAAGAGTGAACAAAAAGTCACTGCGCTGTTCAGAATGCTTGTCGTTTGGCAGAATCTGACCAATAAATGCAAGGGCAGCTGCCGTAGCTTCCAGTTTAGGTAAACCATAACACAAAAAAGTGTGGGATGGGAGTATTTTTCCCAACCGCTGCAAATTTATCCGATTAGTCATCGCTAAAGTCACCAAGGAAAAAAAGTTCGACACCAAACAAGTCGGCTCATGTCTTAAAAGGCAAGGGGGAGGGAGGTTTCTAGCATTAGCATATCCGTCAGAGGGCGATA